TAGGGCTTATAGTTCTATTTAAGTTGCTTATCTGTTCCTGATTTAATTTTTGTAAGTGAAATTTTCTAATTTTGAGGAATACAGGTTTTCAAATTATAACATGATGATTCTCTGGAATTCCTCTGTGTCTCTTGTTATGTCCCCCTGCTTCATTACTGGTTTTGTTAATTTGCATGTTCATGCCGTCTGCCTCTCTGGGGTGTACTGGGATTCTTTGTGTTCTAGAGCTTTCAATTGTGCTGTTATTTGTCTAGTGTTATTATTGTCCTGTTTCTTCATGTGGGCACTTAGCACTATGAACTTTCCTCTTAGCACTGCTTTCAAAGTGTCCCAAAGTTTGGGTATACTGTGTCTGAATTCTCATTGAATTCTAGGAAACCTTTAATTTCCTTTTTTTTTTATTTTTTCCTCTACCAAGGAATTGTGCAATTGGGTGTTACTTAATTTCCATGAATTTGTAGGTTTTCTGCAATTCGTGTTGATGTTGAATTCTAACTTTAAAGCATGGTGGTCTGGTAAGATACAGGGTGTTATTTTAATTTTATTGTGCCTGTTGATGTTTACTATGTTGCCAAGTATGTGGTCGATTTTAGAGAAGGTTCCTTGTTGTGCTAAGCAAAAGGGATATTGTTTTGTATTTGGATGGGATGTTCTATAGATGTCTGTGAAGCCCAATTGGGCCATAACTTCTATTAGTTCCTTTGTTTCTTTATTAAATTTTCTGTCTGGTGTTCCTGTCCAGTGGTGAGAGTGGGTTTTGAAGTCTCCCACTATAAGTGTGTATTGTTTTTATGTGTGATTTGAGTTTTAGTAATGTTTCTTTTACAAAGGTGGATGCCTTTCTATTTGGGGCATAAATGTTCAGAAGTGAGACTTCCTCCTGTTGGATTTCTCCTGTGATGAGTAGGAAGTGACATCCTTCATCTCTTTTTATTGATTTTTAGTTTAAATTACAATTTGTTGGATATTATTATTGCTACCTTCACTTGTTTCTTGGGTTCATTTAATTGGAATATCTTTCCCAACCCTTTACTCTGAGGTACGATCTGTATTTGCAGTTGAGATGTGTTTCTTGTATGCAGGAGAAGGTTGGATTCTGTCTTCTTCTCGATTCTGCTAACCTGTGTCTTTTTATATGTGAGCTAAAACCATTAACATTGAGGGATATTAACTAGCATTGATTTATTATTCATTCTTGTTTGTTTGGATTTGGTGGTGGTGGTGAAAATATGTGTGGGTTTCCATCCCTTTTTCCTTCTTTCTGATAGCAAAGTGGGATTATTTATTTCCTATATTTTCTGGTTGTAGTTAAATTCCATGGGTTGCAGTTTTCCTTCCAGAACTTTCTGTAGGATTGGATTGGGTGATATGTATTGTTTGAATCTTGTTTTGACATGGAATATCTTGTTTTCTCCATCAATATTGATTGAAAGCTTTGCTGGTTATAATAGTCTGGGCTGTCATCCTTGGTCTCTTAGCGTAGGTAGAGTATCTACCCAGGACTTTCTGGCTTTCAGAGTTTCCGTGGAAAAATCAGGTGTAATTCTGATAGGTTTGCCTTTATATATTCCTTGATTTTTTCCTTTGGTGCTCTTAATATTTTCTCTTTATTCTGTATGTTTTGCGTCTTGGCTATTATGTGGTGAGGAGACCTTTTTATTGTTCCAGTCTATTTGATATTTTGTAGGCTGGTTGTACATTCATTGGCATGTCTTTCTTTAGGTGGGTAAAGTTTTCTTCTATGATTTTGTTGAATATGTTTTCTGTGCCTTTAAGTTGGACTTCCTCACCTTCTTCTATACTTATTATTGTTTGGTTTTATCTTTTCACGTTATCTCATATTTCCTGAATATTTTGTATTAGGGAATTTTTGGACTTAAGATTTTCTTTGGTAGATGTATCCAAACACCTGATATTCTCTCTTCCATCTCTTATATTCTGTTGTTTATGCTTGCATCTGTAATTCTTGCTCATTTACCCAGCATTTCTATTTCAATCATTCTCTCAGATTGGGCTTTCTTTATTCTCTCTATATGAGTTTTTAGATCTTGACCTGTTTCCATGAAAGATTTGTTGACATCTAATATTTTTGATATGTATTTTCTTCCATTTCTTTTTTTTCAATTTTTATTTGAATTAGAAACAAGATTGTTTTACATGACAATCCCAGTTCTGTTCTCCTTCCCATCCTCCACTAGCATTCCCCCCAACTAAAACCCTACATATAACATATCCTATCTTCTATTCTTCCCCTGACTCAAACTTTCTGCTCCCTCCTGACATCTGCATGCTTTCTCTTCTTCCACTCATTCTCATAGCTCCCTTCCCCCACTTCCAGTGCTCTCAACTTGCTCAGGGGCACTTGACCCTTTCCCCTTCTCCATGGGACCATGTATGAATATCTTAGGGTCCTCCTTGTTTACTAGCTTCTCTGGAAGTGTGGATTGTAGGCTGGTAATCCTTTACTCTATGTATAAATTCCACATATGAGTGTGTACATATCATGTTTGTCTTTTTGTGATTGGTTTACCTGGATCAGAATAGTTTCCTCTATTTCCATCCATTTTCCTGAAAATCTCAAGATTCCATTGTTTTGTTCCACTGAGTGCTATTCCATTGTGTAAATGTATCATATATTCTCTATCCATTCTATGGATGAAGTTCATCTAGGCTACTTCCAGTTTCTGGCTATTACAAATAGTGCTGCTATAAACATTGTTGAACAGATGTCCTTGTTGTATGAATGTGTTTCTTTTAGGTATATGCCTAAGAGTGGGATTGCTGGATCTTGTGGTAGACTGATTCCCATTTTCTTGAGGAGTTGCCATCCTGATTTCCAAAGTGGCTGTACAAGTTGGCACTCCCACCAGCAGTGGATAAATGTTCTCGTCTCTCCACATCCTCTCCAGCATAAACTGTCATTGGTGTTTTTGATGTTGGCCATTCTGACAGGAGTAAGATGTTGTCTCAGAGTTGTTTTGATTTGCATTTCCCTGATGGCTAAGCATGTTGAACACTTTCTTATTTGTCTTTCAGCCCTTTTAGATTTCTCTATTGAGAATTGTCTATTTAGTTCCATACCACACTTTTCAATTGGATTGTTTGGTGTTTTGGAGACTAACTTCTTCTGTTCTTTGTATATTTTGGAGATCAACCTTCTGTCAGATGTGGAGTTGGTGAGTATCTTTTCCCTGTCTATGGGCTACGTCTTGTCTTACTGACTGTTTCCTTAGCCTTACAGAATCTTCTTAGTTTGAGGAGGTCCCATTTATCAATTGTTGATCTCAGTGGCTTTGCTACTGGTGTAATGTTCAGGAAGCAGTCTCCTGTACCAATTAATTCAAGAGTATTTCCCAATTTGTCTTCTAATAGGGTTAGTGTGGCTTGGTTTGTGTTGAGGGCTTTGATCCATTAAGTTTTGTGCATGTCATTAGGCTTGGGTCTATTTAGAGTCTTCGACATGTCTGCCTCCAATTCTGCCAGCACCATTTGTTGAAGGTGTTCTCTTTGTTCCAGCGTATAAATTTGGATTGATTGTCAAAAATCAGGTGTTCTCGGGTGTGTGGTTTAATATCAGGGTTTTCTACTATGTTCCATTGGTCTACCTGTCTATTTTTGTGCCAATACTAAGCTGTTTTCAGGACTATAACTCTGTTATAAAACTTGAAGTCAGTGATGGTGATGCCTCCAGAAGTTCCTTTATTATACAGGGTTGTTTCGGCTATCCTGGGTCTTTTGTTTCTCCATATATAGTTGAGAATTGTTCTTTAAGGTCTGTGAAGAATTGTGTTGGGGTTTTCATGGGGATTACATTGAATCTGTAGATTGCTTTTGGCAAGATTGCTATTTTTTCTATGCTGATCCTACCTGTCCAAGAATATGGAAGATCTTTCCATTTTCTGGTATCTTCTTTAATTTTCTTTCTTAGAGACTCAAAATTCTTACAATATGAATCTTTCACTTTTTTTTGCTTAGCCTTACCACAGAGTTTTTTATTTTGTTTTTACAATTTTGTTTTACAATTTACAATTTGAAAGGGTGATGTTATCTGATTTTTTTCTCCGCCAATGTTTCATTGGTATATATTAGGGCTACAGAAAATTTTTTGTGTTAATCTTGTACCCTGCCACTTTCCTGAAGGTGTTTATCAGCTGTAGGGTTCCCTGATAGAGTTTTTCAGGTCACTTTGTAGACTATCACATCATATCATATCATCTGCAAATAGTGAGAGCTTGACTTCTTTCTTTCTGATTTTGTATCCCCTTGATCTCCTTTTATTGTCTTATTTCTCTAGCTAGAACTTCAAGGACAATATTGAAGAGGTATGGAGAGAGTCTTGTCTTGTCCCTTATTTTAGAGCAATTGTATTGAATTTCTCTTCATTTAATTTGATGTTGGCTGTCGGCTTGCTGTATATTGCTTTTATTATGTTGAGATATGTTCCTGTTATCCCAGATTTCTCCAAGACCTTTATCATGAAGGGGTGATGGAGTTTGTCAAACACTTTTTCAGATTCTAGTGATATGATCATTTGGTTTTCCTTTTCCTCAGTCTGTTTATAAGGTGGATTACATTAATGGATTTTCATATGTTGAACCATCCTTTCATTCCTGGGATGAAGCCTACTCGAGCATGGTTGATGATTTCTATGATGTGTTCCTGTTTTTTTTGGGGGGGGGTTTCAAGTCAGGGTTTATCTGTGTAGCTTTAGAGCCTATCCTGTCACTCACTCTGGAGACCAGGCTGACCTGGAACTCACAGAGATCTTCCTGCATCTGCCTCCCGAGTGCTGAGATTAAAGTAATGTGCCGTCAATGCCTGGCTCTCTGATGTGGTCTTGGATTCAACTTGCCAGTAATTTATTGAGAATTTTTACATCAATGTTCATAAGGTATATTGGTCTGTAGTTCTCTTCCTTAGATGTTTCTTTGTTTGGCTTTCATATCAAGGTTACTGAAGCCTCGTAAAATAGTTTGGCAATGACCCTTCTGCTTCTATTGTGTGGGATATTTTGAGGCAAATTGGTATCAGCTGTACCTTGAATTTCTAGTAGAATGCTTCACTGATGTCATCTAGCCCTGGGCTTTTTTTGGTTAGGAGACATCTCATGACTACTTCAATTTCATTAGTGGTTATAGGTCTAATTAAGTTGCTTATCTGTTCTTGATTTAATTTTCGTAAGTTAAATATGTCCAGAAACTTATCCATTTCCTTTAGATTTTTTAATTTTAGGAATATAGATTTTCGAAGTATGACCTGATGATTCTCTGGATTTCCTCGTTGTGTGTTGTTATGATCCCTTTTCATTCCCGATTTTATTAATTTGCATGTTCATTGTCTGCTGTTTGGTAAGTTTGGATAAAGGTTTGTCTATCTTGTTGATTTTCTCGAAGAACCAACTCTTCATTATATTGATTCATTTTATTTTGTTTGGTTGGGTTCTTTTTTTTTTTTTTTTGGTTTTTCGAAACAGGATTTCTTTGTGTAGCTTTGGAGACTATCCTAGCACTCACTCTGGAGACCAGGCTGGCCTTGAACTTACAGAGATCTGCCTGCCTCTGCCTCGGTGTTTTGGGATTAAAGGTGTGCAACACCAACGCCCAGCATGTTATATTGATTCTTTGTATTTTTCTCCTATTTTCCATTTTATTGATTTAAGCCTTCAATTTGATTATTTCCTGGCATCTGCTGCTCAGAGTTGTATTGGCTTCTTTCTTTTCTAAAGGTTTCAGTTGTACTGTTAATTCTCTGATGTGATTATTCTCCTGTTTCTTCGTGTGGGCTCCTAGCACTATGATGTTTCCTCTTAACAATGTTTTCAAAGTGTTCCATAGTTTTGGGTATGTTGTGTCTGCATTCTCATTGAATTCTAGGAAATCTGCAATTTCTTTTTTCATTTCTTCCTCTACCAAGGAATTGTGCAATTGCGTGTTACTTAATTTCCCTGCATTTGTATGTTTTCTACAATTTGTTTTGATGATGAATTACAACTTTAAAGCATTTTGGTCTGATAAGATGCAGGGGGTTATTTCAATTTTTTTGTACCAGTTGAGGTTTGTTATGTTGCCAAGTATGTAGTTGATTTTAGAGAATGTTCCATGTGGAACTGAGAAGAAGGTAAATTGTTTTGTATTGGGATAGAATGCTCTATAGATATCTATAGATAAGTCCAATTAGGCCATAACTTTGATTAGTTCCTTTGTTTCTTTGTTAAGTTTCTGTCTTGTGTTCCTGTCCAGTGGTGAGAGCGGGTGTTGGAGACTCCCACTATAAATGTGTGAGGTTTCATGTGTGATTTGAGTTTTAGTAATGTTTTTTTTTTTACAAAGTGGATGCCTTTGTATTGGGGGCATAAATGTTCCGAACTGAGATTTCTTCCTGCTGGATTTCTCTTTGATGAGTAGGAAGTGACCGCCTTAATCTCTTTTGATTGATTTTAGTTTGAAGTCCAATTTGTTGGATATTAAGATTGCTACGCCAGCTTGTTTCTTGGGTCCATTTGATTGGAAAATCTTTGCCCAACCTTTAATTCTTAGGTACAGTCTGTCTTTGAAGTTGAGGTCTGTTTCTTGTATGCAGCAAAAGGTTGGATTTTGTCTTCTTATCCATTCTGTTAATGTGTGTCTTTTGATAGGCAATTTAAGACCATTAATATTGAGGGATATTAATTACCATTGATTGTTCATTCTTGTTGGTTTTTGATCTGGTGATGGTGGTGAAATTATGTGTGGGATTCTATCTATCTATTGCCTATATTTTTCTGGTTGTAGTTAACATCTTTGCATTGCAGATTTTCTTCCAGAATGTTCTGTAGGACTTGTTTTGGGGGTATGCATTTTTTGAATCTGTTTTTGTCATGGAATATCTTGTTTTCTCCATCTATATTGATTGAAAGCTTTGCTGGGTATAGTAGTCTAGACTGCCATCCATGGTCTCTTAGTGTAGGTAGAATATCTGCCCAGGACCTTCCGGCTTTCAGAGTTTCCATGGAAAATTCTGGTGTAATTTTGATAGGTTTGCCTTTATAAGTTACTTGATCATTTTCCTTTGGGGCTCTTAATATTATCTCTGTAAGTTTGGTGTTTTGATTATTATGTGGTGAGGAGACCTTTTTTTATTGTTCCAGTCTATTTGATATTTTGTAGGCTTTGGGCTGCCATGCCTGTCTTCCTAGGGTTCGGCCTCTCTCTTCCTTTCATCTGTACTCCTCTTCTGCATCCCCCATCTCCTGATACCTAGCCATCAGCTCTGCCTCTCCCCCCGACACCACACCACACCCCGCACCCCACCACCTGGCGACCTCTTTCTTCTTCTGCATCTTCCACTTTCTTCACTCCTCTTACTCAGGTATTCATTTCGTTCCTTCCCTTTGCTTTCCTATGCTGTGGATCCCATCGAAGACCTCAAGAAGTACTGTTTGGAAGGCGTGGATCTTGCTGCAACCCTGTGTAGACCCAGCTGGCAAGCATGGAATTTTGGTTGATCCTCCAATCTCTGCCTCCACCTGCCTGCAAGGATTAGAGCTGAGAGACCCCACTCCACCCACTCCCCATTTCTCTCTGGGAAATCACTCTCTCCTTTGTGCCCACTCTTGCTGTCTCTCCGTCTTTCTGGGTGTGTGTGTGTGTGTGTG